TGGACTGGCCTTGGTTATGTTTGATTGGTCTATATCCCTTATAACTTTTGCCTATTTTGTTTTCGCTTTTTAGCTTTGGTGATGGACCTCAGTAAGACTTCGAAGGACCAGGTAAATATAGAAAGGATGCTAGCGACTAAATAGCTTTTTTCCTACTTTTACATACACCTAAAATGCAAACTGTTGCCTCAAAAAGCAGTTCAATCAAAGTAGTCCCAATGGATGCGATTTTTTTGCTAGACAGTGAACAACTGCAGTACTGATGGATTCAAATCAGCGCTAAATTCGACAGAAGACTTATGAACTATTTAACAGGAAGTTTTTTGTACCAAATCATCGAGTAATTTTATTTGCGAAACCTCCAGTAAGCTGGACACTGTATTTATTAGGGTTTGACTGTAGAATACAGGCAGTTAGACATAAGGGACCGAATAATAATCATTCAATGTTTCTTTTTAGTTGCACAAAATATTTTTACAAGACAAAAGGAATCGAAAGCGTATATTGGAATAACAGTGTACTCAAGACCCGCACAGATTACAAATTAATACTTTCGATAACAGTTAAATAAGCTCTCTAGGAATCTGTTGAGAAGCGTGATCACCGTTCACGTTAGTGGGCCTTTTTCGTTATACACGCAGCACAAGATTTCTAATCATAAGGCCCTCGGAACACTGTAGTGTTATACAGTTCCACGGCTGAATTGAAAATACAATCCAAAGCAGTACCTCACTCGCACGGTAGCTAAAGCCTCAAATTTATACTCGAAAAAGAAACGCGCCCAACGGTAAGATCACCCCAAAAAGAATAGTCCTTTCCGGGGCAGGCAGCCCACACAGGGAGAACTTGAAAAGAAGACAGTGCCAACGTTCTGAGGCCGTTGGTACGGTCAGTTAAATGCCAACAGGAATTCTGAAATACACTGCTGTACACTATGGATTACTTAAGTGAGCTTGTAAGATCTACTATCCTATGACACAATCAAATAATATTTCAGATACGTCAGGATGTTGGCTTTTTCATGCAGGTCGTTTCGATTGCCTGCAAAAACCACACTCGTTAAATATGACTACTTAGGCAGTGCGTTTTCCATTAACTTTCCGGTGCCCTTATAAATTCAAATACAATTTATAGGAATCATCCATAAAATATCATTCTTCTACTCATTTTATAGTAAATGCGTTTATATTCATACGAAAGCTGTGCTTGGGTTTCAAACTGTTTCCCAAGTATCGAATAACATTCAGCCAGATCTGTTGTTTTATTTGCGTCTAAAATGTTTGACTTACAAGCTGTACTCTTTTCATGTAAGGGACAGAGTGCATTCCTTTATATCACTAAGAAGATATCATAAAAAATCTCAAAATATTTTGCAATGAATTTAGACTGTGTTGTGTAATTCACGGACGGGGGGAGGCACTAGTAAACAAACAGATAGCATTTGAATAGACGTAGTATGGTCTTAAAAAGAAGCACAAGTAGGCAAAATATAACCTCTTTCTAGCAGGAAATTTGAAGAAGACGTGATTGGCTATCAAATGAGTTATCAAATGATAACTTTAAACGTGTTTTCGGTAAAATTTATTCCAATTAGTAAGGAAATCGAAAACTTATTGAACAGGTGCATGTTACCTAAGCAATCCTTTATAACATAAACCGAATTGTAGAACTACAGCCAATATTTTGCCAGCTACAGTATATAATGGAGGGAGGGGGTCGGGGAATAAAATACGGGGTTGCGGGCTGGCTCCAAGCGAGTTCCAGCAAGGGCGAGCTGGTTCTGTTTGAGTTGGATGCCGCAAAAATCAACAGTATTAGGAGTGGTCAACTCGAAGCAGTGTTGAACTATTTGATAATTCAATTAACTGACACACACAGACTGTGAACCTAGCGTGCATGTGAAATTCCTTCCACCATTTACACTTTACTTGGATTGTCGACAGTGAGAACCAGGCTAGGGCAATATTTTCAACCAGAAGACTATTATTTCCGAAGGCCAAAGCTACGTTGGCCAACAAGCATGTGGGACGAAGTGAACTGAGTGTATTCGTGACCGACAATACGTCAAAGACGCGATTTTAAAAAAAGGACATCAAGGGGTAAGTGATCAAGCATTTCAGGACATCGGACACATAAACACAAGTATCCGTATGGATGGTTTGTTTTCCGAAAATTTCGTGCATTCTAATCAGACAGATTTTAGGAATATCGAAAGAACTGCATGTGCCTAGTTGACCTCGTGTTCGACTTTTTATCTGCTTTGTCTGGTTGGCAGAAAGCTCCACCCAAGCTATCAGAAGGTTCCAGTAATTTAAGAGCTTTGATGTCTACCATGACCAAGCAGACAAATCAAATGGAAAGACATTTTTCTCAGGAAATTAATAGCAGATCATTTGCAGCCGCCCTTGCATCTCTGTGAAAGACAGCCTGCCGCAAATGTGGAATAGTAATGCAGTCATGTTAGAATTTAGACAAAACAGTAAGGGTTCACGCAGTTTGGCGATTCACACTGAACAGCGCAGCACATCAAATAAGTCACCAGAATTAGCGAAATGACATAGTCCGAATGTAGGCTGGGACGAAAATCAAGTGAGTAAATCTTTTGCAATTTATTTCAATTTAGGCTGTAGTTTGTGATAGGAGATATCAATCCAGTCGCAGCAGTCGTGGGAGAAGTTTGTCAAAAATACTCCCAAAATTACGGAAGAAAAAAAGCAAATTCTGGTATACTTAGCGACTCGGCAAAGCAAAAAGAGATAATCGAGGTAGTTTTGTCTGAAAATAAAACCTACCCTATTCAACTAAGCAAAAGTACAGTCCTCTTTAAGGCTAAAGGGACCAACTGTCTTCGTAAGTATGCAACACTATCTGAAATAGTTAAAACTTCAAGGAGACTGGCCTAAGGCGGTTTTGGTATAATACCGTTAATACCAGAGTTAGTGCGTGTCAGTGAGTCAACGGACATGAAGATGCCCTATAAACTCGACATGACGCAAGTTAAATGATACACGATTCTTGTGTCAATACTTCCATACTAGTTTGGGAGTCTTCTCACTCAAAAAGCTGGTTAAAAAACGGACTGCTTGATTAACAAGCCCGTCTCCTCCACAAAGGTCTGGCGTCTAACGACACGTCTTCTTCCTTATCCATGCAGATACCTGGAACGCGAGCTTTTTTCATTCATTCGAGAAGACCTAGTACTCATTAAGTTCTTAATACAGTTC